TCTCCATCCAGAGCCCAGCACCAACACAGTTTATCCTGACTCATTATCTTGTTTTCTATTCTGTTTTTCATCCAATTATGTTTTTCTCTTGACTTCACAAGGCTATGTCTTTAAAATTTATCCATCTAAGTTTTACGTTTGATTTTAAAGACTGGGGAAAAGAAGAGTTCTCGAAGCCTGAATATATGTACACTCATACACACACATACACATTTTACTCTTGGTATCTATATATATACATTGTAATGGAAAATGAGATTGTGAAAAGCTAAATTCTTTGTATCTACCACATAATAAGAATCTCAGATCCTAGATTTGGAACAATATTTTCATATTAATTAAATAGATGATTTTTGTGCCTAAGTGGCATTAACAACATATAGCAACAATATATAATGTCTTTAACATTATCCAAAGAAGAATATGCTATTGCTCTTTAAGTCTTGAAAGACTAGCACACAATAGATTAACTTCTTGTGAAAATGAGCAGGATATTGTCATATTATGTCTGATACTCCTTTAGGAGAAATTCAATGAGGCTTTTTAAAGGAGTTTTCTATTTACTAAAAGAAGTGTTGAACCTTTCATCTACCAACTTTTTTCCAATTACTACTGTTAACAAAAATTTATTTCAAATGAGGCTGTTCTAATATGTGTGAGATGACACTGATCCCTTTAATGGATAGCAAGGCTAAAGGAACACCACCTCCCAAGGGGGAAAGTAAAAGTCACGTAGCATATCATGATTCTGGTCACAGATAAAGTGCCCTACACTATCATTACATTAAGCACCGCAGATCTCAACTTTACTGGGATGTTTGAAAATAAAATGAATTCAATACATAGAATTTTGAAGCACCTTTAATGTTGTAGTACCCATCTGGGAGAGACCATTGTCACCTTAAGTGGGAAAACAAAAATGACTAATGAAATATTCTGCCGGTAAATTGAGGGCTCAACTTCTAAAGTAAAAATAACACAATGAAAATTAATATTTCTATTAATTACATCCAATGGACTTTTTATATAAGGTCTGCCTAATACTTTTCATTAGCAATTTTGAAGAAAATGATGCAACAAAGTAAAAATTCAGTTAGTGAAATATGGATTTAAGTGAAAAAATACATTTTCTTTAATGTTATGCATATTCTCTTGTCCCCATCACTATTGTCTCAGACAAGGAACTTCCTGGCACTACACTGACCAGGTGTTTGGGATTATGAAAAGATGTCTGGAAGGTAAGAAAAAGAGAGAAGACTCACGAGTTTATGCTTTCAGTGATCAAAGACTGAAATTAACAAAAAATGCATTTGTCTATACAAACGTGGACGTGTCTTTCTGCCTTTCAAATAAATTAAAAATAAATATTTTTTAAAGTGGACATGTGCTTGAAATAACATTTAAGATTCTGTGTTCCATATTTTGGTATCTGGGTTGGAGTCTTGGCTCCAACCTGGATTCCATCTTCCTACTACTGTGTTCCTTGGGAGGCAGCAGGTGATAGCTTAAGTTGTTGAGTCCCAGTCACCAGCAGGGGAGACCAGAACTGAGTTGTAGGTGCCTGGCTTCAGCCTGACCCAGACCTAGCAATTATGCATATTTCTGGAGTTGACCAGCATATAGGTCATATCTCTCCCTTCCAAGTCAATAAATAAGTAAGTGAATAATGTTAAAAATTAAACATGTCTTCTTGTTTCTATTTTTTCATATCCATGCCTGAGTTCAGAAAAGTAAATTCATCACTATGTGATTAAATCACTTAATAGCATCAAATCGATTCAATTTTTGTTGTTACATAAATATCCCATCACTAATGAGATCAAGATAAACAAATCTATAGCTTATTTATAATAAATTGATGTTTTAGTAAATTGAGGATTATTTCCTTAATCTTCACAATTTATCCAACTGTTGAATAACAACATATAGAAATATTAATCTACCCATTGGCCATTTACCACAATGTGTATTAATCCTTGTGCAAGGCAAAAATATCCTAATTTATGTGTCATGCTAACATAAAAAATAGTGCAGAACAACTACGAACAACTGCATTGGGGACGCCAACAGTAACATTTTTATGTATTAATACATTTCCAAAATGAAACAAAAATCCTTTAATAGGTTTGCAGCTATGTTGCTTTAAATGCTTTTAAAACTATGAAGTACATATGTGAGCTGAGAAAAAAATGTTTTGCTCTCATGTTTCATTAAATAAAAATTTTGTTTAATTTAACATTAATTGCAAAATTAGAAAACTATGGCCTAAGGGCCTGGTTTTTATACGGCGCTGTTCTGATTAATGGAAGCTCTACATGTATCCTTCATTACTCTGAGTCTTCTGTCAGCTTTCCCTTCCCGCTGCTCTCCTTATCTCTCCCAACTCTAACACATGCTCATGCAAATTCACCAGGAGTCTTCCTCTTTTGAATAAAAAAAATGCCAGTAAGCTGATTTTTATTGAACTCTTTATACAGTCAATAGTTTATCCAGATCTCTCAGGGTAAATGTAGAAATAGGCTCTGTTTTCTATCACTCACTAGAGTAGGTGTGTTTCAGTTTCAATGTTTCACTAATATGGGTACAATGAAAAATTGATACTGTTCATTTTGACATCAAGAAATATTAGAGTCAAAGGGAGCACATAAGCAAGTCTAGTACCTGCTAACACTAACCGATAGAATAAATAAAGGGGAGAGTGATCCAACATGGGAAGTGAGATACTCAGCAGACTCATAGAATGGCAGATGTCCTAAATAGCACTCTGGCCTCAGAATCAGCCCTAAAGGCATTCTGATCTGGCTGAAAAGCCCATGAGAGTATTTCAGGCATGGAAAGCCAAGACACTCTGGCAAAAGATCTCTGTGAGTGAGATCCCAGTGGAAAGAACAGGTCTTCAAAGAAGGAGGTACCTTTCTCTGAAGGGAGGAGAGAACCTCCACTTTGACTATGACCTTGTCTAAACAAGATAAGAGTCGGAGAACTCAAGGGGCTTCCATAGCCTTGGAAACTCATGACTGGAGCATAGGGGGATTGCTGATGCCATAGACAGGAGTGTCAATTGGTAAAGTCAACAACAGGAGTCACTGTGCACTTACTCCTCATGTAGGATCTCTGTCCTTAATGTGCTGTGCATTGAGATTTAATGCTATAACGAGTACTCAAACAATATATTTCACTTTGTGTTTCTATGGGGGTGCAAACTGTTGAAATCTTTACTTAATGCATACTAAACTGATCCTCTGTAAAAAAAAAAAAAAAGAAAAGAAAAAAAAAAGAAAAAGAAAAGAAAAGAAACTATCAAAAAAAAAAAAAAAAGAAATATTAGATAACTGGGAGCACAATGCCATGCCCACAGAATTTGCTTGGATTAGTTAAACACTAAATACATTGCACTGGAGTCAGCATGTTTACTTATGTTTCAGGGGACACAACTTGAAATATGTCATATATCAAAATCCACCTTATTCCAACTCTACCACAATGGGAGGGCCAGAGGTACACCATGGCACATTTAAAGATAGTAGTGCTTGTTTTGGAGACTGGAGTTATAATGTTGACTTTGCTACAAACTATAATAAATTCATAAAATTGTTAGACTATTCAAGTTTAATTTATTTGTAAGATAAGAGGAATGGATAGTAGCTCACCCTAAACTCCCTCCTTGCTTCAATAATTGTTTAGAGTTCTATTATATCTAATCCACAAAGGCATTCATGATTTTATTTTATTTTAAATCATTGCTTTCAATACCTAGTTTCAAGTTTTTTGCTTTATTTATTTATTTATTTATTTGACAGCTAGAGTCACAGACAGTGAGAGAGAGAGAGATAGAGAGAGAGAGAGGTCTTCCTTCCATTGGTTCACTCCCCAAAAGGCTACCATAGCCGGAGCTGAGCCAATCCAAAGCCAGGAGCCAGGTGCTTCCTCCCAGTCTCCCATGTGGGTGCAGAAGCCCAAGCACTTGGGTCATCCTCCACTGCTTTCCCCGGCCACAGCAGAGAGCTGGACTGGAAGAGGAGCAACCGGGACTAGAACTGATCCCCTATGGGATGCCGGCACCGCAAGCGGATGATTAACCTAGTGCGCCACGGCGCCAGCCCCATTTATGTTGTTTTAAGGAAAGCAGTTTGCAGTATTTTATTATACTTATTCAAGGAGGTTTAATCTAGTGCACCACGGCACCAGCCCCATCTCAAGTTTTTAAAATCTTTTTATTAATATAAAGAGAATATATTTCTTGCACTCCGTAGATACAATTCAAAGAAGATAATTATACTTCACTCCTTCAGACCTCCCTTCCTTTCTGTCTTTTTTCCTTTCCTTTAATTTTTGTAATAGCATAATTTCAATTTACTGTAAACTCACACACTTAAGGTACCACTAACCGTATGTTCAACAAATAAAAAGTAGAAAGACCACTGTTCTACAGGCAGTAAGACAAGACCTGTAAACAATTACCAAATCACAAAATATCAGCCAAGATTTTTCTGAGTATTTATGAAAGGTAGTTCCCAGGGCTGGCGCTGTGGTGCAGCAGGTTAGCTGCCACCTGAGACACTGGCATCTTATTTGAGCTCCAATCAAGTCCTGGCTGCTCCTCTTCTGTTCAACTCCCTGTTACCGCATGGGAAAGCAGCGGAAGATGGCTTTCTCTTTCTCTCTCTCTCTTTCTCTCCTCTCTGCCTTTCAAATAAATTTTTTAAAAAGTTTTTTCAAAAATGTTGGATCTCCCCATTTCATTACAGGACCATGGAATCAGAATTCATATTATTTTGAAATTTTTTAGTGTTTCTGACATAACTACTCTATTCTTAGTGTTCCATTGTACAATTAGGAGTTTGATTTTGAGAATTCAGTATTTTTTCCTTTGCTCAGAAACATTAGAGCATATGAAAATTATGATTTCCAAAGCCTAAAACAAATCACATTTCTTTTTTGTAAAAAAATTAACATGCAATAGGAATATCAATCAGATTTTATTTTTTATACATAATTACCTTTTTCCTTGAGGGAAGCTGGAACCTTCACTTCTTTCTCCTTTGTAAGTTCTGGAAAGAAACATTGAGCATTCATTTGAAGTTAATATAAAGAGATACAAAAAAAAACTATATGTGGTAGTCAGTGAGGTTAGTGAGTTAACAAATTGAAAATAGGTGGAAATGATATGATTTAAAAACAATTGTTATAATCAAAACCATCAAAACAATAGTATAGAATGGAACAAGACCCTCCCCCAAACCTGATCATTTTTATGATCAGAGTTAGTGGTAACTTGAAGAATACAACTGAAATAAAATGAGATACAATTTTATTATTAACACCCAAAATTCAGTCAAATAAAGCTAAATTTATTCTACCTGCTTTAATGCAATGTGATTTCAAACATATCATGGCTTCAGATATATGTAAAAACAATGTTCTATATATCATTATACTTCCTCAACAACCTGTTAGAAAATATGAAAAACTGATTGCTTTGATTGTTCTGAATTATTAAAGCTCAATATTCATTTCACATAAAAATGCTTACAATATAATGGGAAATAGAGAAGAGGTCCATGTGCTGATCCTTTTTGCTCTTCTCACTTATGGATTTGGGTGACAATATAGAGAATATAGCATTGGCATGTGTAAATGGAAATGGACTCTAGCAATCATATAGAATTAAATGATTCTAGGTAGCTAAAGATGTGTCCAAAATGGGCATATAGGTGTTTTGCTAAGGAAATAAATAAGTCACATGAAGCCAAATAATACACAAGATCACTGATATGTGGAACCTTGAACTCCCAGCAGTAAAGAGTAGAATTATGATTGGCAGATGCTAGAGTAGCTGATGGATAAGGAAAAGGAAGATATTGGCACAAAAGGCACAAAGTTGTATTTAGAAGAAAAATATTTTAAATTTGCCACAGGAATAATTTCAAGTGTCTACCACAAAAATGATAAGTATGTGAAGAGTCTGCTACATTAAATATCAGTTTAATCACTTCAAATTGTAAAAATATATCAACATCACATTTTACTGCATAAATTTACAATTATTATTATTTTGTTATATTAAAGAAGTAAAATATTGTAAAGGGCTATTTCCTTAAGGTAGGGTTTTCTTGTTGGTCAAACAGCAACCTTAGACACCTGTATATATGTAGATTTTTAAAAATAGGTTTGGTGTTAAAAAAAAATGGTGGGGCTGGCATTGTGGCATAGTGAGTAAAGCTGCCACCTGTAGTGCCAGCATCACATACGGGTGCTGGTTTGAGTCCTGGCTGCTCCACTACCAATCCAGCTCTCTGCTATGGTCTGGGAAAACAGTAGAAGATGGCCCAAGTCCTTGGGTTCCTGCACCCACATGGGAGACCTGGATGAAATTCTTAGCACCTGGCTAAGGATTGGAACAGCTCCAGCCATTGTGACCATCTAGGAAGTAAACAAGCAAATGGCTCTCTCTCTCTCTCTCTCTCTCTCTCTCTCTCTCTGCCTCTGCTTCTCTTTCAAATAAATAAATAATTCTTTAAAGGAGAATAAGAAAGGCTATCCTGCTATATATCATGATCAATATAAATAGGATAATTTTCTTCTCTATTGCAGCACATGAAGATGAAATCAAGAGCCCTAAATTGAATAAACACATTGAGAAGCTTCAATAGCTTTTTCCAAGCCTACAGGATAAATTATTGCAGTTGCATTTTCAGGCTAAGCCAAAATAACTAATATATTGTAAAATGAAAAGTGATGGTGGAGAAAGATTCCCAGTCTAGTGGGAAGTCACAGAATTCAAAACTCAGCAGCTGCTTTCAATGGGTGAGTGTACATATTTGTATGAGATTATAGTACTTATCAAGGTGGCCTACATTGTGGAAAAGTGAGTAAAGCTACCACCAGAGATGCCAGAACTACCTGTATACACCTGCAGCTGCCACTCATGTGGGAGACCAAGATGGAGCTCCTGTCTTTTGCTTGGCCCAGCGCTGGCTGTTGTAGCCATCTAAGGAGTGAGCCCATGGATGGAAGATTTTCTTTCTGTCTCTCCCTCACTCTCTGTAACTCTTATAAATAAATAAATAAATAAATAAATAAATCCTTTAAAAAACAAAGTTATTAAATACAAAACCAATTCAGTGAACCACCAAGATGACTTTGGATTTCTGAAGAAAGAAGAAGAGGGAAAATAAGATACACTTTCACAGGGCATCCTGAGGTAGTAAATCCATCACCTTATTAGTAAATCCATCACTGTCCTTATTAAGGAGATTCTGACCTGATTTAGGAAGAACACATACTTGGCTGTGCAGACTCTAACTACCAAAGGATGAGAGCCAGGTATCAAATCTGATATTTCCCCACAAAAAATAGTGAAGAGTATACTATATGGGAATCCTGCACTTCTGAGTTAAGAAGAGATAAGTCTAACTCTGTGATTTGGGTCAGCTCTCAAGTCATTTTTCAACTCATCTGTTTGTTTATCAGGAGCAAAATTTTGGAAACCATTTTTATATACATAGTAATTTCTTTGTATTTATCTCAGGCCTTACAGGATGATTTATGAACCTCAATGATCAGGGCCTAAAATTATTTAACAGTGCTAGGATATAAATTGGAAATCTGTCAAAAATATCTGGTAAAAGAGGCTGTGTTACAGAAAAAAAAAATCATCCAGCTTTTGTTCGATGAGGTGAAATGGCCAAGAAAAAATATTTTGAAGAAAAATAGTAGTTGGAGGAGCTTCAGGTGCAGAGTCTTGAGCATCAGATTATAAAGTAAGATAAACTCTGTTGATAATCCTCTAGCATTAGTTCCAAATATACACAAGCCTGGATCAGAAACCAGTTAACAATTCCGATATTCCACTGCATAATCAAAGATGAAATTAATCTTTCTGCTGCTTTATTTATCTGATCTGTATTTCCTAAGTCCATAAATAAATCTTGCATTCTCAGAAAAATCAGAACAGCTATTGAAAGCAAGTGGCAGTGAAATGGGGTTGATGTCATCAGGAAGATAACCGAGGACATGGGTTTTCTAGTTTCTGGGTTGCCAAAGCCACATAAGCATGGCTCTTGCTTTGTAGAAATGTTGAAAATGTTCGAGTCCCCTAGTTCAAGTAGTTGAGCCAAGTGCAAAAATTGTTGATGGCCGGCGCCACGGTTCAATAGGCTAATCCTCCACCTAGCAGCGCTAGCACACCGGGTTCTAGTCCCAGTCGGGGCATCGGATCCTGTCCTGGTTGCCCCTCTTCCAGGCCAGCTCTCTGCTGTGGCCCGGGAGTGCAGTGGAGGATGGCCCAAGTGCTTGGGTCCTGCACCCCATGGGAGACCAGGATGGGCACCTGGCTCCTGGCTTCGGATCAGCGCGGTGTGCCGGCCGCTGTGCGCTGGCCACAGTGCGCTGGCCGTGGCTGCCATTGGAGGGTGAACCAACGGCAAAAGGAAGACCTTTCTCTCTGTCTCTCTCTCTATCTCACTGTCCACTCTGCCTGTTAAAAAAAAAAAGAAAGAAAAAAATGTAAAAAAAAAAAAATGTTGAACTAAATGCAAAAATCAGCAAATCTTCCTCCAGCTTTTTTTTCCTTTGGAATAATCATCCCTAGAGCTTTCCATACCTCTTTATAAAAAGAGACAAGCTTAATGATGTTTCTTTAAAGGCTTAATTTACTAATTATCATCCCATCCCTTGTGTTGAGGGCGCAACTTTCATTGTATCATAGGTAGTTTTGAAATTACACCATTGCTTCAATATGATTTGACTGTGTACACTCAGGGAAATCATGAAGAGACTGGTTAGTCTCTTAAGTGTATAATTCATGGAACTCATAAAATACAATGATTACAATGAAATAAATGGCCTTTTAGCAAGTGGAAAAATGGCATTCTGATTATACCACCACTCAACAGCAGCCTACAAAGATTATCCAGGAACCATAATACAACAAGGGCTTTCAAAATCCTTAAAATACAATAGATAATATTGCAATTGCTTTGGATTTATTGGATTTTTAGTAAAAACAAATGATATTCTGCAAAAAGAGCAATGAAAGTATTCTAAAAGAATATCCAACTTTTGGGAAGCATTAATATAATATAGTTTGAACTTAGAATGTAATATCTGGTTTAAATCATTAAAAGTCAATAAAAATATGAGGAAATCCTTTATAAGCATGGTATTCTTAGGACTACAAAGACATTTTGCAAATAGCAGAGAATTCTACATCTAGGAAAAAATGTCCACTAGGAAATTGCCTGTTTTTAAACATTAGTAACAATAATAATAGAAATCACATGGCCATACTTGGTGAAGTGGTCTGAGTGAATTTAAATCCCCCAGGTAATGGATTTTGACAACTACCCTTTACAAATAGTTTGGGCTTTGGCACAAGTAAAGCTTCTATGAGGTAGTTTAAATGTTTTATAATAACCATTGCCTGAAGAGTAGTTTGCAGTTAAGACTCTACCTTTCCTTAGAGTTGTTTTCATAGTGAACAGTCATGCATGTTACAAGTATTCCTGGGTCACCACACAAATAAACTAAAGAACATTTAGATTTTCCAAAAATGTGAATTGCAAATTACACACACACACATACACGTTCACTCACAGCAGTGTATTTCAGCGATACCTTTTCTTCTCACAAAGTTTTCAGATAAAATGAGAGTGGATAGTTGGCAAGGAAAGGTGAAGATATCCTTTACAAAGAACAAGTAATTAGTGGAAAAATGGAATATATCCATCTTGGGAATTAAGTGAAATCACCCAAAATGCAAAAAGGCTAATACCGTTTTCTTCATAGAATTACAAACACATTTATGTCAAATAATGTTTTCAGGTTATATAATAAGGTCTATACTCAATGTAACGTTCCTGTTAACTGTGTTAAAGAGTAAGCAGTGTCACTACTAAAATGGAAAGATGGGCATTAAAGGCAGACAAGCTTTGGCTGTTACCTTCATCTCCTAACCACAGTGTGACACTCAGTAACTTACATTATCTTTCCCTCAGCTTCCTCATTTAAAAAATCAGGATAGCAGCACATCTTGCTGAGCAAAAAAGAAAAAGTGTTTATCAATGTGCTTGTCCAGGAATAGGTATCCTGCTTCTAGGTAAATGCCATACTTATACCTGACTAATTCATCATCATTTTTACTGGAATTTAACATAATTTCTTGAGGAATTCCTTCCTTATTTCACTGAACATCATTAGGATCCCCAATTACACACTTTCATTGCGCCCTGTGCATATACTCCATAATCCTTATAAATTAAATCAACTACATTATTATTGCTACACATTCTATGTAAGCATAATAGCTTTCTTGTATCCGTATTGTCTGGTGAGTACCTGTATTGAACATGATGCATTAGATGCACAATAAATCATTGCTGAATGTGGTACCACTTGGTTCATATAAGAACTTAAGGAGAGAGCAGGTACTTGGCTGAGTTATTAAGATAGCTGCTAAGATGCCTGAATATCACATTGAAATGCCTGGGTTTAATTCCAACTTAGTTCTTGATTTCAACTTCCTGCCCATGCAAAGACTTGGAGGCAGCAGGTGATGACTCCAGTGGTTTGGTCCCTGCCACCCACATGAGAGACCTGGATTGCTGTCCTGAATCCAGGTTCCAACCCCAGCCACGGCAGGCATTTTGAGACTTCATCAACACATAGGAGAGCTTCTTTTCTTTTTTTTTTTTTTTTGTTTTTTTTTGACAGGCAGAGTGGACAGTGAGAGAGAGACAGAGAGAGAAAGGTCTTCCTTTGCCGTTGGTTCACCCTCCAATGGCCGCCGCTGCAGCCGGCGCACCGCGCTGATCCGATGGCAGGAGCCAGGATCCAGGTGCTTTTCCTGGTCTCCCATGGGGTGCAGGGCCCAAGCACCTGGGCCATCCTCCACTGCACTCCCTGGCCATAGCAGAGAGCTGGCCTGGAAGAGGGGCAACCGGGACAGAATCCGGCACCCCGACCGGGACTAGAACCCGGTGTGCCGGCGCCGCAAGGTGGAGGATTAGCCTATTGAGCCACGGCGCCGGCCCAGGAGAGCTTCTTTTCTGTCTCTCTTTCTTCTCATAATGTTTCTCAAGTGAATAAAAATGTTAAGGTTGAACAACCAAGTCTTGATGAATAAACAGATGCTATTGCAGTTACTTAATAAATTAATGTATATATCACACATAGAGACAATACAACAAATTGTAAACATAAGTTTATTACTTTGAAAGAGAAGGTACTCAGTGAAGGATGAAACATAGAGAGAAATCTTGATGCTTTACATGGTCATTATTCATAGGAAGGAGTCCAGAATTTGGATCAACGGAGAGGAAACGCAGTTGGTTAATTCAGTAGCCTGAGGTCACAAAATTTAAATAAGAATTTCTCTGCTTTTTATAGCAAGAAAGAGCCTGAAAAGATTAAAGTTGACAGAATATGCCTAAGTACATTTTAAAAATCACAGGATTCATAACTCCAATTACCAACTCTTGCTCCCTACTTCTAGCTTTTCCATCTGTGTTTCTCCAATGATTTGCAAGAGCTTGAAAGATAATATGCGGGTACAATATGAATGGATGAAAAAAGAGAAATAAGGAATACAGAGCCAAGTTCTTTCTAGTTTCTTTACTTTTCTTCCATATTTTTCTTTGTTCTTTTACATTTTTAAATGATTCTCCCTCTTGCATTTCTTTTTTCCCTCCCTTTCTGCTTTCCTCATTGTCTTCTTTCCTTCATGTCTTCTTTTATCCATTTATTTATTATTTGAAAATTGCAAAAGAACACTTTTTAAGTAGTAGTGAATATGAAGAAAGCACTTTCAGGAGGAAAATAAATATAAAACTTTTTTAAAAATGTGAGTCTGACCATGGCAATTGTAGTGCACTCATCCCCCAAGGAGATGCCAATAACATATTAAGTACGCAGTCAGATGTTTCTACTAAAAGCATTCGCATATTACCTTTATCCTTCAGAACTGAAGAAATCTTGCCAGGTTTTTCTTTTCTAGTTTCTGCAAGAAAGATCATGAGAAGAAAAGGTTACAAGGAATAATAGGTTGGAGGGGGGAACCACTAAGAATTTCTTTATGTGAATTAGAGGGTGTTTGAATCAATAATCAAGCTGCAGATGTCTCCTGTGCCACATCGCCTATGAGGCACAGAACTAAGCTTACAACAGACAGAAAGTAAGCCCATGGATTATCATCACAAGGGGAAGATAAAGACATAAACGAGATAGATGTAGATAAAATTCCACAGGCTTTGGCGGAAGAATCATAGCTAACTTGGTCTAATTGCTATGTGTCAGACAATGTTCTCTACTATTTTGCCATCCAGTGTTCACAACAACCTTATGAGATACAGGAGTCCCATCATCATTTCTACTTTTCATGAAAAAGGACTAAGTAATTTCCTCAAGACCATTAAACAGCAGACCTGGAGTTTAAACTGATATTCTGAACTCAAAGATACTGGCTTCAGTATCTGAATGATGGGAATCAGGACAAGCTTTTATCACATGGCTCGCAGGCAAACACTGAAAAACAGAAAGGAATTAGATCAACAGAGATTAGGTGGAGTATTAAACCAATGAGATGAGGTACAAAAACACATTTAGAAGATCAGAGAGAAAACAGTGAGGCCTGGGTTTGACACTCACTACACATGAACAGAAGTCATATATAACTAGTAGAATGCAGTAGAAGAGATCCTAAAGAGTAATTTGGAAAAGATAGTGTAGTTTCTCTTTATTATCTAATGGCACTTCCTGTGGAAAATTCATCTGTAATGGAGTGATTCAGCTGATACTACCGCTCTGGAGAGTTTACATATATGTAATTTTTTAGGAGTTCCTCCAACATGTAACATTAACTATCGGCCATCAGAGTGAGCCATCACGGGCATCCAGGAGAGTGGACAACATGGGACAGGTTGATTAATGAGACTAGTTATAGTTGTATAGTAGTTTAGAAGTTTGCATATTCTATTGCACGGTAAGGCGAATACAAGCAATGATAGTACACTGTATATTTCTCTAAGACTTAGATGTGACTACTCTGGACATTACACAATTTTTACATGCATTAAAATATCATGTAATACTCCATCAGTATGTACAATTTTATGTATCAACTAATTGTTAAATTAAAAATAAAAATTAATCTAGGAATGATCCCTGGAGTTCTTATTTGGTTTACATTAACAAAATCTATGATCAGCTGAGGTAAAAATGTAGGAAAGAGATCTTTAAAGGAAGATACAATCTTTGTTTTAAATGTATTATATTTCATATTTCAATAAGACACCAAAGAAATATCTGGAAAAAGTTTCAACAGCAGATGAAGTGCAGATTATAGGAAAGTGTTGCAGAAGCAAAGCGACATACAGTCTCACTTATACGTAGAAACTATCATGATAATGACATGCTTTCTTTTTTTTTTTTTTTTATTTGACAGGTAGATTTATAGAGAGTGAGAGAGAGAGACAGAGAGAAAGGTCTCCCTTCCGTTGCTTCACTCCCCAAATGGCCGCTACGGTCAGCACTGCGCCGATCCGAAGCCAGGAGGCAGGTGCCACAGCAGAGAGCTGGACTGGAAGAGGAGTAACCGGACCTAGAACCTGGCGCCCATATGGGATGCCAGCGCCGCAGGCGGAGGACTAACCAAGTGAGCCACAGCACCAGCCTGACATGTTTCCATAAATACCTCCACAGAAAACTTATTTATATTGTTCACACAGATTGATTTCACTTAGTGTATGAACCAATTGTACAAAATGAAAACAAACAAGAAGACTAAAAATTACTTCTAATAATATATGAAATATTAATAAGACATTTCAGTTAAAAAATTTTAAATCCTTGGCCAGCGCCACAGCTCACTAGGCTAATCCTCTGCCTGTGGCGCCAGCACACCGGGTTCTAGTCCCGGTCAGGGCGCCGGATTCTGTTCCAGTTGCCCCTCTTCCAGGCCAGCTCTCTGCTGTGGCCAGGGAGTGCAGTGGAGGATGGCCCAAGTCCTTGTGCCCTGCACCTGCATGGGAGACCAGGGGAAGCACCTGGCTCCTGGCTTCAGATCAGCGCGGTGCGATGGCCACAGCGTGCCGGCCGCTGCAGCTATTGGAGGGTGAACCAACAGCAAAAGGAAGACCTTTCTCTCTGTCTCTCTCTCTCTCTGCACTCTGCCTGTCAAAAAAAAAAAAAAAATTAAATCCAAGTGTATATGATTTGCCCATATTATCATTCATATATTGGTGTTAGTAATTAATTTTATAAATGTTTATGGCAGCCTGTTGAAATCCTTGCTTAGTATATACTAAGTTGATTGAAAATGAAACTCCATGAAGGGTGGGATGGGAGAGGGAGTGGGAAAGGGGAGGGCCGCGGGAGGGAGGGAGGTTGTGGGGGGAAAGCCACAACAATACAAAAGTTGCATTTTGTAAATTCACATTTATTAAATAATAAAAAGAAAAAAAAAGTTTATGATCAATTGCCAGATGTTTAATAATGAAAAATCCCACATGTCTATGTAAGTCAAATGTTAAGTGATTTACTAAATACAAACAGTCCACTTTGAGAGAAAAAGTTCAATAGCAATGAATTTGGAAAATTTTTTAGATTAACCAAAAAATAAATAGAAAATAAATTTTTGACTTTTCTTCCAATATTATCTTGTAGAATATAAAGATTATGTATGACAGTACTGTTTTCTTATATAAGAATTTTTTTGTAAAAAAAAAAAAGAAGAAGAAGAAAGGAAAAACGAAGTTCACGGGAAGGATAAGATGAAAACATAAAGCCATGAAAATCTTAAAGAAAATCCACACTAGTTTTTCCCTAGCACAAACACAAATATTTTGGACTCTAAATAAGTAGTAATGGAGTATGTTTAAACAGTTGCAGGGTTGGCGCTATGGTGTACTAGGCTAAGCCTCCGCCTGTGGCTCTGGCATCCCATTTGGACACTGATTCAAGACCCTACTGCTCCGCTTCTGATCCAACTCTCTGCTATGGCCTGAGAAAGCAGTGGAAGGTGGCCCCAGTACCTGGGCCCCTGCAACTGCATGGGAGACTGGGAGGAAACTTCTGGCTTAGGATAGGCCACTGCAGCCATTTGGAGAGCAAACCAGTGAATGGCAGACATCTCTCTGTCTCTCCCTATCTCTGTAACTGTACCTCTCAAATAAAGAAATAAATCTTAAAAAATAAGAAGTTGCAATTAATGATATCATTGACACAACTATTATTTCTTTATCATTACTCTGAATGTTAAAATCCAAAACCATATTATTAGTAGTAACATTTTATGAAGATAATAACAAAATGTATGTGCTAGAGCATCCTGGCTTGATGTCAAGCATAGCCAAACTGAAAAAGGAAACTGAAGTTAGAAAGCCTAGAAAATCCCAACAAAATCATGAAGCAGTTATGGCTTTCTGGCTGTGTTAAAAAATGAATTCTAAATTCTTCTTATTAAAGTTGTATGTATTTATTTGAAAGGCAGAGGGGCAAAGCACAAGAAGAAGAGACAAAGGGAGAATCTTTCATCTGCTGGTTTACTCCCCAAATTCATACAGCAGCTGGGGTCTATATAGGCTGGAGCTAGGAGTCTAGAACTCAATTCAGGTCTCCCATGGGATACACGAACTCAAGTGCATGAGAACTTAAGTTTATGTGTCTCATTTTTTTAACCTTAGAACTCTCACTGTTTTTACTCAGAAAGTTTTAGTTGTTTGTTATCATGGTTTTATTTAAAAGGGTAACATTTTTCTTCTTCTGTTATTCTCTATCTAACTGAATAACCAGACTAAGCCCAACACAAGGAAAGAATAGATGCTAAAGGAAGTGGAAATGCTGGATACCTCAATTTAAATATTAAGCATTGTACACAGATGTGGAATTAACATAATGTATCTTACAAAATTGAGACACACAAAATTCACTTACATGACATCTGAACAGTTTTGTAAACAGAGATTGTGGTGAAATGCTTCTCAAGAAATTGTAAATTTTGGAATTAAACTGTTCTCTGAAGGTTAATTTACATAATCAGCAGAGTAGTTAGTGAAATTACTAATTGTATAATACTGTGTAACACTTTGGAAATACACTTCTGAAGAGCTTCCTACATTACTCAAGCATTGTGTGTTCTAGGCAAGCTGGGCTGCAGTAGCCTGCTTAGCCTGTGACATATGACATGGCATAAAAACTCCAAACAAAGAGATGTGCGGCTTGTTTAGTTCATATCTTACAATCACCTTGGGGAAGTCTTGTCCAGTGAATTCATTATTATAGTCTTTTTGACAAGCTCTTCTTACAGTAATGTAGTTCTTCAGATCATCCTGCTAAGGGGCCTCTGCTAAAATCATTTAAGTCCCTTTTTTCATTTAAGTAAATTTTGACCTGAGTTTATCATTGCAATGCTTTGAACCTGTGTAGCTTGGCTGCATAGAGGGATTTCTTCAGGCATTCTTTCATATTGTAGTCCTCATGACACCTTAATAGTCAGAATATTGATTGGAATTCAGGGATGTACCTCAGTTGGCTGCATCTTAATTTATCTTAATCCAGCCCTTTATGAAAGAATAACAATATGCAATGATATAAAAATAAAATTGACAGTCTTTTATTTGATAAGGAATTAAGTGTGCATAGTTTTAACTTCATTTTCCATACGTGGGACATAGGATGAACTAAGATTCCCTAAGGACAGATTTAGCTACTGAGCCATAAATCTAGTACAAAGGAATTTGTTGCAAAAAGAAAATCTTATTGGCATGAGATTTTCCTTATATAGTCATGGTCAACCTGAGATATGAAATTTTTCATGTTTGAATCAAGGAAATAACTTTATTACAAAATGGAAATTTTCTTGAAGCCAGGGTCAGATTTTGGTCATTCCTGTATCCACAAATGAGGAATAAGAACTATTTCATAGCTGGCGCCGCGGCTCACTAGGCTAATCCTCCGCCTTGCGGCGCCGGCACACCGGGTTCTAGTCCAGGTCGGGGCACC